CCCCTCCCAACTCCTTCACATTTTCTCTTTATCTACCTTTGCACTGAGGTCAAAGCAGCCTCACATCTAGGAAAACCTGACATCAGCCTGGCAATATACACCTTCAGTCCCACCACGAGAGTCCAGACCCAGATGGATTCTGGCTTGTTGTTCTCCTTCCCTAGAGCATCAATCAGCATGCAGGAAAACCGAGGCACACACCAACTCTGTATCCATTTACTACTTTGTTGATCAGCAGCAGGACTGAGAAAAAAGCGCTACATTTTCTCAGCCTCATCTTAGTTTCCTATCACTGGATTATACTCCTCTTTCAGATTTTTTTCTGCTTTTTTGAATGCATTCCCCCTCCACTCAATTTTTTTTCTGGCTGTGGACATTTCATTAGGAACGGGAGTGTCCCCTGCATAGGATAGAGAGGCAGTAAACCTGTCTTGTCCACTCTTTTCTTTTGATAGATGAGCTTATAGATGTATCAGTTCTTCAAAATTCATACAGTCTAGCTTTGTATTAAACACTGACACAGATACAGTCATATTCAGCTGTAGAAATAACACAACCCTCAAATATTTTCATTGATAGCTCTACTTAACATCAATAAATACTCTCTTTTTTAGGACTCCCAGTCACAAGATATTTCTAAGGTTACATGTGGCTATAAAATGTTTGCAGGATTAAGCCGTTAGGACCTGGGCTCTGAGGGCTCTGATGGTTTAAGCCTGTTGCCTGTATATTTTTATGCTTAAATGTGTGTCATTAAAACACAGCAAAGTTAATATAAAGGCTGCTTCTATGTTGCGGTATTTCTAATTATAGTATTTATTTTCCCTTTGCCTATTTATGAAAATTTCAAACATTTCAACAAGACCATGAACCAGAACCAAATGATTTTTTTATTAAAGTAGAAAAGTGTCTGGCCTTTTTCAGCTATGAAAAGGGTCATAAGAATTGTTCTCACTTACCTTCCGAAAATGGGACCTCCCACAAGCTGGAGGACACCAAAGGTTGTCTGGAGGTAGCCAAACCCCACTGAATCCAAACTTAGGCTCTTTGCCAGGTACTAAAATAGAAAAATACTCAGCAGGTCAAGGGGAATGAAGTATGCTATACTTCTGAATATAGGACTTAATATCTATGTGGAAAGGACTATAGCTCCAAACAAGCACTTCCTTCAGTTCCCCATATCTACAGATGAAATCTTCACTGGGTCAGACACAGGCTGCTTAATGAAGACCAAAAGTCTCTGTCCCACACCATCCACTAATGAAGATCAGGGGGATGTGATCAAAACCATCAATTTTGCACCAGGTCACAAATCTGAATCACCCTTTACCTTTGCAGTCTAACACAGCTGAACATATCCAGCTGCTGCTAAGGGGATAAGGTAGATTTTAAGTAGCCTTCCTGCCTCCAGACCCTGCACTTAGGGCAGCCCAAGCACCATCCAGGAGATGGCTGCTGTAAGGTCTTGACATTGTTTAATCAAGCAAGCTGGAATCAATGCAAGCATAACATGGGAAAAATATTACTTTTAATCTGGATGGTACACCCACAACCTGAGCTTGCAGAAAACTGCAGATGCACACCTTAAAGACCCACAATCTTTTTTTTTTTTTTTTTATGTTTAAAACTCACAGCCAAGTTCAGCTCTCAGAAGGTGTGGAGATGCCCCAGTCTTGCCTGCTTCCCTGGTACATGCTGCACCATGAGCTAGTTTCGTCCCAGAAGGAGGGAGCAGTTTGTCTCTGAATTCACAAAACCTGTTGAGAGTTCTCCCAGAAAACATGGGCTCACCAGAGAGAAGGGTGGCCATGTGTATCATAGATCCAGGAGCTCACAAGAGCAGGAAAGCTGCCTGGTGGAAAAGGACCTGAAGATGCTGGTCAACAGCTAGCTGAATACAAGCCAGCACTGTGCCTAGGTAGCCAAGGAGGCCAGTAGCATCCTGGCTTGTATCAGAAATAGCATGGCCAGCAGGACTGGGGAAGTGATCGTCCCCCTGTACTCAGCAATGGTGAAGCCACACCTCAAATACTGGGCTCAGTTTTCGGCCCCTCACTTACAGGAAAGACATCAAGGTGCTGGAGTGTGCCCAAAGAGTAATGAAGCTTGTGAGGGGTCTGCGGAACAAGTCCTGTAAGGAACAGCTCAAGGGATTCAGGTTGTTCAGTTTGGAGAAAAGGAAACTCAGGGGAGACCTTGCTGCATGGGTGCAGCAAAGTGGGTGTCGGTCTCTCAGATGACAAGCGATAGGACAAGATGAAACAGCCTCAAGTTGCACCAGGGGAGTTTTAGATTGGATATTTGAAAAAATTTCTTCACCAAAAGGGTTGTCAAGCACTGGAACAGGCTGCCCAGGGAAGTGGTGGAGTCACCACTCCTGGAGGTATTTAAAAGACACGTAGATGTGGCGCTTAGGGACGTGGTTTAGTGGTGGACTTGGCAGTGTCAGGTTAAGAGTCAGACTTGATGATCATAAAGGTCTTTTCCAACCTAAATGAGTCTATGAAACCAGATAGGAGAGTCCAGTAAGTGAGAAGCAATGATTCCCATGCACAGCTGGTTTATTATGCCCTCACAAAAAAAACCCCCTCCAATCTGAAACCTCGGATTTCTGCTGCCTGCTTGTTGGGTCACTCTCCCACAGCAAGCAAGAAGACACAAACTACATCAGCTTCACCCAGGGTCATCAGGCCAGGAAAGGGCTCTAGGTGCTGGTGCAGTACAAATAATAAAGCAGCTTTTACTGCCTGGGCAAACCCTGAACACAGTCACAGCTTGCCTGCCTGATAGGAATACAGTTTCCTCTCTCCTGCTACAATCTCTCTTCTGATTTTGCTGGAAACCTACACAGCCTGGCACTGAAGGCAAGGTGTGCCACGAAGCAGGACCACCCATACTCACAGGCATGACTCCCATCTGCATGAAGAGGAAGGTCAGCTCTAGGGTTACAATCAGATAGGCAGCGAGGATCGTTTGTCTCCTCTTGACCTCTCCCAAGCAGCCGTTCTCCCCCAGGGTCTCACTCTTCATTCCCAAGTCTTCTTCCTCACCTCCAGAGCTGGCTTTTGTATTCATAGTGCTCATGACTGCAGACTGATGGGCTGAAAAAGTGATACAAAGGTGCTTTCTGGCTGGGAACATAAAGCACAGTTAAAATACGGAAGCTGTGTGCACAGTTCAAAGCTTACAGTGTGAAAGGGGCTGAGTCAGAACGCCAACTTTTTTTTTTTCTTTCTTTTTCCTTTCTTTCTTTTGTTGGTGTTTTTTTTCTCCCATTTACTTACTTGCCAGGCAGGATCAAAGATAACCATGGGTCTCCTTCTTCAGCCTTGTCTCAGGTGGGCTCATTACTCAAGTACCACCACAACAAAAATCAGCTTGAGAGGCAGCAGAGTGAAAGTGGACATTGCCCCAAAAAAGAGCATGTGACAAAATCTCCAACTCTTTAACTGTTTCACTTCTTTCACTTTTATTGCCTCTGGTGGCTCAAGAAGAGATTCCTGTTTTAATTCTTCATGAAAGGCACTTTGATTTTATTTTTGAAGGTTACAATTGAAGCTTACAGCAGAACAGATATTCTCAAGCTCTCATACTTCTTGCCGTAGATTTCTACAGGTCCCAGAACAAGCCTAGGTCTTACATGCAGTTAGAGCTGCTCTCATCAACACCTCCAACTGAGCTGCGTTCCCTCCTTCAGGTGCTGTAAATTTATAGACAGACTGAGCTAGCAAATGTTCACATGTGGCTACACTCAGACTACAAATTACCAGCCAATGCCAAAAACTTTTTTTTTTTTTTTTAAAAAAAGTATTAAATCCACACAAATCATGAGGGTGACTGCAAACTGGGGAATTAAATAAAAAAAGACTCTTTTGTCCTTTGGGGGTTTTGTTTGTTTGCTTGCTTGCTTGTTTACTTAGGGTTTTATTTATTTGTTTGTTTGCCTGAGGGGAGGATTATTTGTTTGTTTTCTTACATGTTGTAGCCTCGAAGTCTGGTTGAGCATTATTTTTATTTTAGAGAGGAAAAAGAAAGCAGAGATCTCAATGCCATGATTTTGTAGAATCACAGGACTGTCGGCAGGAAGGGACCTCAGGAGATCTCATCCACCCTCCTGCTTGGGCACATCAGCTCAGCTGTGGCTTTTTCTGGACAAGCTTTGAAAATCTCCAAGAAAACAGATTTGCTCTCTCACTGAGAATCTGGGAAAGAAGTTTTCCCTAATGTACAATCTGAATTTCTCAAGCTGAAGCTTGTAGCCATCGTTGCTCATGGTATCAGCTGCCACTATGCAGAAGAGTCTGGCTGAATCATCTCTGGGGCTGCCCTTCAAGTAGTTGCAGGCTGCTGTTAGAACACCCCAGAATGAAGAAGTCCAACTCCCTCCACCTCTTTTAAAGATGATGTACTCTAGACCCATGACCTTCTTGGTAGCCCTTACTTGGGTCAAATCCAGTTTGTCCACAACCCTCTTGAACTGTGAGGCCCAACACTGTGTCAGCCTCACCAGCACCAAGCCAAGGGGGATAACAACTTCCTTGGATGCCCTGGCCATGCTTCTCAAATGGTCCATTACATGGTTTGCTTTACTCCTGATGAGCATGCACCATTGGCTCGCACAGCATCGCCATCACCCACAGTCCTCATGCTAGGGTTGCTACATGTCCGGTTGGTCCCCAGCCTGCATTGGTGCAGGTGGATATTCTGCCCCAGGCTTGGGGCAAACTGTCACCACTTTCAGCTTGTTGAAAACCTTGACGTTTTGCTTGATCCAGCTCTCATGTTTTATGCAGAACCTCTTCCTGAGGCTCCTTCAATGACCACGTCAGCCAGTCCCTCTGATTTGATAACACCTCAGTTCAGAAGGTTTGACTCGCTGTGAAGGCTGACACAAACAGATCAATACAGGGACACGAACATTTGCTGGCTTGGATCCGGTGTCCTTGTCAGGGCTCCCAGATTCCCAGCCAAGCCCAAGGAGAGGGAACTGCAAGATCTCTGGGCACACCTTTTTATTCAATAAATGTTGCTGCAGAGCCTCAGAATTTGGTGAGGGCTGCCAGGCTCTACCTCCCAGCGAAGGAAGGGGAAGACCAAAGGTTTAACATTTCACCAGGGGCAGGTACCATATCACTGGAAGCTGCACAGAAACAACCTTTTGCAAACTCAGCCAGAGCATGAGTAAAAAAGCACCTTTAAAGAACAACTGTCCTAGAGGGATACCAGTACTCAAACAGACCCAACTGACAATGCCCTAGAAGTCATATTTGTCACTGAAGAAGGAAGATTACCCAGCATGTATCCCAATTTAGCAAAGGATCAGTGCTCGACATTTGGTTCATCTCAGCAGTAAACAATGGATTTGCCTGCACTTTGAATGTCCTTCAGCACAGCACCAACATCATCACTCCCTGGTTTGTGCTGGACAGGCACAATGTACAAATTACCAGCATTGAATAGAAGAGTAAAATTAATGACAGAACTCTGTTTATGGAGGTTTCAAGACAATCAAAAAAACAACTCATGCAAATGCAATGTAAAACACTGCTTACAGGAAATGTTGCTGACTTGGCCTTGAAAAGCATCAGTATTTTGACTGGTGAGTTTGTCTCAGCAGCAACTGAAAACAGATCCCAGCAAGGCGACCAAGGGAAGCAATGACTTTCAGATGCAGCCACTCTCCACCAGATACGAGCCTCATCCTGCCCGGGGCATGCAGTGCAGACAGCTAATCAGCCACATGCTCTCACTCAGATTTAGCTTCTTTCTACTGGCATTGACAGGGAAATGGAGTAAGAAAACTCCAAGTTTAATTTTCAGTCTCCAGGGCAAAAGACACAGTTCTGAGAAGCATGGAACTAAACTCTGTGCCTGGTGTGGAGGTGACCATGGAGAACGAGCTATGATCACCAGACTCAGTTCCTGTACATCACTGGATGCCTCTTGATGGCTCAGTGCTCAAATCTGCTCTTTAACATCCCAGATCAGGCTGCAAGTAAGTGTGTTGTCTAGGCCCAACTCAGCTATCCTCTTCTAGCAATAGTCTCTTTGGCAGGATCATTTATCTCCCCATCCCTGCACTTTGGCACTGAAAGGACAAAGGGAAGAGAGTGTGTTTTGCCAATTATCAGGCCTAGCATAAAGGACACAGCCAGCATAAAGATGAACCAATAACCAAATTGTATTTGACACAAAAGGGTCAGTACATGGGTGAGCACTAGGGGTACAAACAAGTCAATCAGATTATACATAATCATCATCAATCCCAATGATCCCAACAACGACACCCACCGCACAACCAACAATGCGTGGAATAAATGGTGAAATGCAGTCTCCCATAGAAGGGATGGGAGACAACCAGGTCAACAAGCTAAATATACAAGACCAAGGAAGCCACATCCTGAATCTCTACACAGCCCACGTTTACAAAAGCCAGACCTGACTGGAGCCCAGTCCCAGGGAGGCAAGAGGTCCTTCCCCAGCAGGGAACTCTGCACAGGGCATCCACCTCACACACAGACACTGCCCCTCCTGCAATGGTCCCAGCTTTTATCCCTCAGTGGGACACCTGACCTTGGGTTACTGAATGCAGACCCCTGGGGCTCCTTTACCCAATGGCTCTGTCTGCCAGGCCGGCACCACCCTGGAGGGAAGCCTAAAGGCAAACTCACCCCCCTTTGTGAAGGGCTGTGGGAATCACCCGTATGTCAACCTTAATTTGGGGCTGGGGGTTGATAACTCAGCATTTCAGGGTGGCAGTTTTAAGCCACCTTTACAAGCCATGAGCCAAGCCCTGTCCATGCTGCCCTGGCCCCAAGGATGTAGGGATGAGCTGTATTCTCCAAATTTGGCCAAGACATTGGTAGCCCTGAATCATCTCAGTGCCCTCCCACAAGGTCTTCTGTGCAGGAACTTGGACTTTCCTGACTTTGAGCACCTGATTTTTAAAGTTTCACCCCACGAATCAGTTGATCTAGGGGCTAAAATGGCAGCAGGAGCACCTATAGAAAAACAGCCAGTGTGATCAACACAAGGCAGATCCTACTCCTCCCTTGAGTGTGTCTGAAAATGTCTGCAGGAACAAAAGTATGATGGAGATTAACTCTGTTCCCAGCTATGCCCGGTTGAACATTGCACTTCTAGCCATCCAGCTAGGGGCCAGTTCATATCTATACCTGTAGTGATAATGCACCATTAATGACAGATGGCATAGGCTGGCATTGCATTTTTATCTAAAGGCTCCTTCTGGCTCAGTTAGAGACTACACCACAGATAGCAGTCAGTCACTGACAAGCCGTCTTTAAAAAATAAAGATTAATTTAAAAACTGGGGAGGAATGGGTTATGAATAGGAAATTAATTTTTTTTGGGTAGGATAAATAAACTTTAAATGCACAGCTATTCTGGGGAGACTATGGTGAAAGCAAGCAAGGAGATAAATGTCTTGTGATGAAACTGCAGATGAGGTCATTAGCTATGCATTAAGACTTGACACTTACTCTCAACATTTTTGGAGTATTTATAGTATTCATCTTCCCTGGTATATCTTTCCTGAGGCCTATGTATCTGGTGATCTCTGGAAAAACAGAGTGGGAAACCTGAGAACATCTTTTAAAAAAAATTTTATAAAGACTTACTGTTTATGTTACTCAGGCAGAAATCTTTTCTTAAAGCACTGGAAATGGGAAACAAGGCCAGCATATGCATGTGAGGGGTGGTGGTGGTGGTGTGGAAATCCACCCACAGCAATACCCGCAGTTCAAAATGTTGGGTGAAAAAGGATAAATTGTGAGGAAATAAATGCTGAATCCTTCTCTCAACTTGTATATTTTTCACAGAGGAAGCTTAATATGAGCTGCAGTAACACGAGGTACACTGGGTGGGATTCACCTGTCTGCAGAGGGTCAAAACAAGTTTTATAGCCTCAAAAGAGCCTTGAAAAGGGATGGAAGTGCAGACGTGCTGCCCAGTGATGATGGGCATCTCTCAGGCTTCAAATCCTGAATGAACGCAAGCTGGCAGGTCCCTCCAGCTACGCAAAAAAACCCAGTGGGATGAACAAAATCTTGCTCCAGTGCAGATCAGTCACAAATCCTTGCCCTTGTGGGTATGCACCCATACCCATGGCAAGTGTGAGAGCTGGCTGGGAATGCTAGGGAGAGAGTTGCTGCCTCTTGGGTCCATCAAAGCTTTCATTTCTCGCTGCAAATAGAAACTGCATTCCTATGGGCAGTGTGCTGGGGGGTGCCAGGAGGACCATGAGCTGCGAGATGAAGCATACCTCATCTCCCTGCCCAAGAAGGAGCAAGGATAATCCTTTCCCTCCTTGCAAGAGCATCACAAGGCCACCACACAAAAACCAGTGAGGTGTGCAGATCTTTGGATA